AAATTGGAACTTTCCTAAAAGAGTAGAGCTCTTCTTTCTTTGTATTTTCTGGCCGAATCATCTTTAAAAGGCTTTTTGTTGATGGAAGGAGGGAAATATCACAATCAGAGAAACCCTGAGGTGGTGTTCGTGCAGGGGTTACTCAAATGGATGGATATGGATATCCCATGGAATCTGAAATTTTAAGATATCGCAATAACAAAAATAGAGTGCGCCGCCGCCGCCCCGTGTTATTTATTGGTAGTCCTACAAATTAAATTACGTAAGCAACTCCTCCATTTCAGAATTAATTTCAGTTCTCATCATATGGTGAAACGATGTCGTCTCATAGCTATCAACCTCACCTACTCCCATGGCCTACAAGACAATTATACACCAACTTCTCCTTGACTACAAGGCCAAACATCACTACTTTCTTATTTAACCTTCAATTTTCCATTTTAATTTTTTTTATTTCTTTAATCTATCGTTAACCTTTACATGTACTTTTTTAGTGGCATATCTAAACAAGTGCAAAAACACTTTGGAATTTTCATCTTACTTGCAAGACACACATGAAATCAACACATGACCAACAACAAAAATCCAAAAACCATCTTATCAAAGTTTAAAATATTTTGGTAAGTCGTAAAGCTCAATAAACAAAAGGGAGGAAAAGGAAGCCCAATCAACAAGTAAAAAATATTAACGGGTAGACATCTACCAAGAAAGAAATCACGGTAGTCGCCCCTTCTAGTGTTCTGTATATTTTCGGGACGGAGTGTACAGATATAAAGAGATTAGTCTGACAAAATTGGGATACTTTCCATGCCACGAAAAGAAAAAAGAAACCACTTTTCTAACTTGCAAATCAACAAACAAGATAGTAAGTATTATTCTCCGAAAATCTGAAGGTTATAAATATTCTTTAATGACTCGTCTTCTTCTTAATAGTGATGGACAAGAGCGTGTTTTACTAGGAGGACTTAAAAAAGTGCAAAAAGGGTACCTACCAATATAATACTCACCTTCCCTTAAAGAATTGAAGCAAAAAGCAAATTGTTCCTTTTCTTTTATTACTGCAAAGCATTTTCGTTCAATTGTTTTGGACTAAACAGGAGATCCAAAGGAGCAGATTTTTGAGGATTTTAGACCCCAATTTTGTATACATACACAGATTCCAAATCAAAACCAACCCACCAACTTCTACCGCACTTCCTAAAACAAAGTGTACTCTCAGATCAGCGGACTGAACCACCACCCTCGCCACTTCACCATCACCACCCCCGGTTATGGCCATGTCAGCCGCCACCCCTCATTCCCTCCTCCTCAAAAACCCAACCAACCCCCTCAAACCCACCTCCACCCAACTCGCCGCCTTTCCCACCACCAGCCTCTCCCGCCATGCCACCACTCGGAAGCCCATCTCCATAACGTGTTCCGCGGCTACCACAACCACCCCTCTTCCAACCACCCCGTCAACCTCCGCCTCCTCAGATCGGGTCTTCAACTTCGCTGCCGGGCCCGCCACCCTCCCTGAAAATGTCCTCTTAAAAGCTCAATCTGAGCTTTATATCTGGCGCGACTCTGGCATGTCGGTCATGGAAATGAGTCACCGCGGGAAAGATTTCCTGTCCATTATCCAAAAAGCCGAATCAGATCTACGAACCCTTCTCAACATTCCTTCAGATTACGCCGTTCTCTTCCTCCAAGGTGGCGCCACCACCCAATTCGCTGCCATCCCACTTAACCTCTGCCAACCGGACGACACCGTCGACTTCATAGTCACCGGCTCATGGGGCGACAAGGCTTATAAAGAGGCCACGAAGTACAGCAAACCCAATGTGATCTGGAGCGGAAAATCTGATAAGTATACGAACATTCCCAGCTTTGATTCGTTAGAACAAAGCCCGCGCGCCAAGTATCTGCATATATGCACCAATGAAACTATTCACGGCGTTGAGTTCAAGGATTATCCTACCCCCAAGGATCCGAATACTATTCTTGTTGCAGATATGTCCTCAAACTTTTGCTCGAAACCTGTCGACGTTTCTAAATTTGGCTTGATCTATGCTGGGGCGCAGAAAAATGTTGGTCCGTCTGGGGTGACCATTGTTATCATCAGGAAAGATTTGATTGGAAATGCTCAGCCGATTACGCCGGTAATGTTGGATTATAAGATCCACGCTGAGAATAATTCTTTGTACAATACCCCTCCTTGTTATGGGATTTACATGTGCGGGCTGGTTTTCGAGGACTTGTTGGCTCAGGGTGGATTGGTGGAGGTTGAGAAGAAGAACAAGAAGAAAGCTCAGATTTTGTATGATACTATTGACGCTAGTAATGGATTTTACAGATGCCCCGTTGAGAAGTCTGTCAGATCATTGATGAATGTGCCATTTACTTTGGTCAAGCCTGAGCTCGAGGCTGATTTTATTAAAGAGGCTGCTAAGGAGAAGATGCTGCAGCTCAAGGGGCATAGGTCGGTTGGAGGAATGAGGGCTTCGATATATAATGCCATGCCTTATGCTGGAGTTGAAAAGTTGGTTGCTTTTATGAAAGATTTTCAGGCAAGGCATGATTGAGAACTGAGAGATATTTGTAGCATTAGTATTACATCTTTTGTTCTGGGATTTGTTCTGTTTTTGTGGTCATTTGGGTTTTTTTTTTCGGTCTCTTGAATTCTTACTTTATTTTGGTTAGCAATTGAAGAATACTCTAGAATTGAGTTGTAGTTTCACTCTAGATTTGAGTTGTAATTTCGGTCCTGGATGAAGTATGTTATCCAATAGAAGGATATGCTACCTGTTCTTGTTAGCATACAAGGATGATTAATCAGAATGATCAGAATAAGCCGAATTTCTAGCAAAAGCTTCATCTTTTCCATATTATGTGCCGGTAGTAGTTCAGAAACTGTCTTAAGGGATTTTTTTTTTTTGGCCCCGATAACCTAAGAGTTTCAGCGCTACCATTTTACCAGCCAACGACAATGCAGCTTCACTAAAACACTTAATAATTCTGTGTGGCAAATGTTCGGGAATGAATGCAATCATCATTTGCCCTTATTCGAGCAGCTCATTGTCAGACTTGTTCAAGCTCAAGGCATCGAGCAGAATGAATGCCAAAACTTCACCAAATTACCAGAACATGTAGCAGTAACTAAAAGCATATATGCATCTTAGAAGAAGGAACCAGCATTTTCTATGTCATCCTCTGAAGGGAAACAGAAAGCAATACAATATATGAAGCATAAGAACATTTTTAGATGAACAAAAGCTGCTTAACCAGGCTTCCATAATTCTATGGCAACTTGGGGCGTGAGGATTCATTCGTAGGCCTCATCTTTGTGATGCTTGGTTTTGTGAACCATGTAGTGTACAGAAATTGTTTTTGGGGCCCTACATGGTTGCATATGATCCTGAGCTTCTGCCGCTCCCTCATCCATCTTAATACTATTTTCATATGCCTTTTGCTGGTCAATCCTCTTAATCCAACTTCCTGCCCATGCCATAAAATCAAACGTAAAACACTTGTAAAGCTATGCTTTTCGATAGAAAACACTAATCTGGTGCTGCAAAGAGCTCTTGCTAGGTCTTAAACTAGAATATCAAATTATCCAAAATCCACCAAACATAATTCTGAAAATGATGAACAACCTTAAGCAGAGAAGTGAATACCTTAACACGTTCCCAAGTGTCGGAAACTGTGAGTGGACCATGTTCCTTGAGGATATCAAAAATAGCCCTCGTGATGGTTTGGGTTTGCTCAGGTGGGGTTTTCAGTTCTATGGGTTTCATCTTAGGCTTGGGTTTCTTCGAAAAATACCTGACTGCTGTGGCAAACATGATGCTCTGTTTGTTGAATTTAAGTCCTGTGCACTTAGAAAGCCAAACTTTGTTTCACAATCTCATTAAAATCCAGTCTGCAATGAAACATATCCATTAGCAGTACTATAAGCGAAAACTGATATCCCATTACAGCATTTCATCGAACAATTGGACTGCATAAAGTGAACACCCATCCATGGATCACGTATGATCAAATGAAGTAGAGAGAAAGACCTTAGAATAGCTACCGCTTCACTTGAAAGATCCTAATCCCAGAAAAGGCTGCGTAATCTTGTTTGTATAAAGCTGGTTAGGATGCCTTAGTCTTCAGTTCAAATATTTTTATTTCCTCCAAAAGCAGCCTTTGCTTGGAAACTCCTTTACCCCTGTTTCTTGTTGACATTGATCTTGACAGCGCCTTAATCTAACTTTCCATGTACTTAGAAGGCGTGTTTCGTTGGGGAATAGAACCACGTCTTCTTATGCTCTCGAATCTCGAGTATGATTCCTTAGTAAACAGGGACTGAAATTAGTATTAACCTAAAATTGAAAATTAAAAAAAATATATTATTCGACAATTTTAACTCAAAAAAATTTACCTCTCTAGGAGATCGACTTCATTTTGAGATTAAAAAAAAAAAAATATCTCATTTTGGGGAGATTGACTTGACCTTGAGAGTTAAAAAAAAAAAGGGAAAAGTTGATACCACTTGAAGAATTTTTTTCTCTCCCCCTTAAAAGAAGAAGAAATTGAGTTAAGAAACAAAAGGAAGTCAATTTTGAGGAATTCAACTACGCTTGGAGATAAAAAAAAAAAAAAAATTGAGTTTCAAAAATCGGCTTGAACTAGGAGTTGAATTCTACGAAATACAACATTTGTTTGGGAATTGACTCAAAAAATTGATTTCCTTAAGGCAAGCTTTCCATACCTAATGAATATGAATAAAAGGCATATTATTATTATTTTATATTTGTATCTTATAGTAAACCAAAACAAAGAGTAAAAAGAACTAATAAAGCACCTGTAGAATCTTCTCCTAGAACATGTAGACTAATAGTCCTTGGTATTGGATTAATTTATAGTAAACATAATCATTTTACCATGAGTCAATGGACTTCTGAAGACTAAAAGATGAGAGCACCAACTCTTTTTCTCATGCGCAGATTAATTGCTTGTTTTGAAGATCAAGTAGTTGATGAAAGTAAAAGCGGATTCAAGATGGTACCATTAACTTGCAAAAACAATCAACGTACTTTACAAAGTTTGGACTGTACAGGAAATCACTTCATCATGATAAAGCCCTCAAGGTCAAGGGTCCATCTGCTGCCTCTTGGTTTCTGATGTATTCCTAAAACATTCTCACACTCCAAAATCTATCTTACATATATCGGTACTGTCCCGTGAAGGAGGAAGTAGACTTCCACCATCACAGGAAGAAGAATGATGCTACAAGATTTGTACTAATGGGATTACTCCCTTTGGGTACAGGAGGAAAATCCCAATAACTCTGCAGCTCTGACAAAAAAGGCGTTTTGTTTGAAAATAAAAAGGCATAACAAAAATTTCAGCCATCATTCCTGGTGTCAAGAAAATGAGAATCTAGAGAAGAGAGACAATCCAGATCCTACGCCATCACTTGCTGGGCTAGGTGGAGCAGCAGTTGAAGAGCGGTAAGCATTTTGACACTTCTGCACCTGAACATGCATATACAATACTTTCTTAGCAGGAAAAGGCCACCCATTTGCAGTAATAAAAAGAATTATACACTTCAATCAGGCAAATAATTCACCTCATCTGGGCTAAACTGGAGAAGCATTGCAACTACTGGCAGCAGAGCTTCCACTTCACCTATTCATAGACAGCAGAAAGATGAAAATGTTAACAGACTGCTGGAAAAAACATCATTTCCAATGATCTACAGAGAAGCGGGAAAGATAATACCAAGAAAGAACCTTCCCATAATAAAATATTAATAATAAAAAAAAAACCTGTCTCAAGAAGTTTCAGAATAACATTTTTGAGATATGTCAAGTCCACCCCTTCCCGCTTCTGCTTTCTATCCATGTTCCTTAGTTCTTCCTTCAACATGGCTACCTGCACAGATCATGGTCAAATTCAAGTCAAAATATAAGAGAATCAAATGCAAACACAGCACAATCTTGACACAAAGAAAGAGGTAAAAGTATGAGCCACAAGATGGGGAACAACATTTATATCACACATCATACACATGTAGCTTATATATGCTCCTTTCACACTCAACTTCTCCCAAGTAAACAATTTCATAACGAATTCAAACTCAGCGGTTTTTAAATCCAGTAATAAGTAGTTGACAGCAAGATACAATAAAAGCAACAGAAAGAACCTTAAACCAAATCTACCTGCTGGCTGTGGAGACGATTTTCACGTTCAAGCTCTTCAATTTCTTCCTGAAAACAAGGTGTTGAAAAATTGAAATTTGTGTAAATAAACTGATAGAAGATATGATGAACAAAACTTACTTGAAGTGCAAAAATGTGCCGTTGTGATTGGGCAAGTTCCTCTTCCCTTTGAGCTTGTTGTCTAGCCAAAATCTGGAGTTTAGAAAAACAAATACCTATCAGCAAACATAGTTGTTGAAGCACTCAACAATACTTATTTTCACATAATGCAAAAAGAGGAATTAATCTTCCTAACAGTTAAGAAATAGTATGACATACTTCGGCTTATCTCATGCATTAAGACAATTTACTATTTCCACTTTTTGATCTTTATGAAGTCCAACGTAGATGATAATGCAGTTCAACAAATATAAACGACACAGTTATTGAAGAGTTTTCTCCAATTCATCCATCTTCAATGACACATTTTTCACCTTCTGCCCCTACAGATTTTCTGTTAAGAAAAATTTTCTTCATTTCCCATTTTTTGTTCCAAGTAGCTTTGGCCAGTGGCAGTGCCTATCTTTTTTGAAACCGCTGAGGGTGGGTAGCAACTTCCTCTGAAACTTTTCATGTGGAACAGCTTAGCAGAATGTAACGGGGAAATTTTGTGCTTACTAGGATTTGCTGTTCTGCTGCAGAGGTACTTGAATTTGGGGCATCGTTTTTACCAGGACCTGCATTCATCAATTCCAGAATGAAAATTTTGTCTCATAAGCCAATTGCATAATAGAATTGACAGTTTCACAAGAACATTGCAACTCATTGCTAATATATCGAGTCAGAGGCAAAATAATACCTGAATCATCAATATCTACGCGATCAGCCTGGGAATGTGAAAAAAAAAAATTATCAAACATAAGAACGTAGCACAATGCCAGTTCAAACAGAGCATACTTTGCCCCCAAAAAAAAATAACAAAGGAAGACAGGTATCCAGATAGATGAATGGTGAATATATGAAGGTTGAATACGCACAGAAAAAGCAAGGACAAACCAGAAGACACAATCAGGCATAGTCAGCATTATTTGCACATATAGGTCAATATAGTTATGCATCAACAACCTTCTAATTAGGACTGTACTTGTTATCTGGAAGATGACCATGTTATAGAGGAGCCTTATGAGTTGCTGCTCATAATGTAAGCTAACTTTACCTGTTCCTACATCTTAAAAAAAGAGTTCCCTAATTTCGACCATGCAAACAATAAACATGACTGCATCCAACACAGATACTATGTAACACAAATATCCCAACAGAGCATAGATAGATACCGATGGCCTTGAATCTAACAACTGACGAAGGCTCTTGTTATCATCTAGAAGTCTTGAAATCTCTTTGTCCTTCTCCTCCATCATTCTATCAGCAAGTTCACGAAAAGAATGATAGTCATCCTACAAATTATGAAAACATTGAGGTCAGTGAGGCATCAGGCATCTCTATGTTAAAATACAAATACAAGGATTAATACCTTCAACTTCTTATTTTGTAATTTAATGTCCTGAAGTTCCTTTTGGAGAGTTTGACCAGAGGACACCTCATTTTCAGCCTTCAGCACTTCACACCTCACTGGTAGATCAAGTAAAAGTGTTATCTCAAACTCTTGAAAACCTGAACTGCAAATGATATAATGAATAAACTGGTCATAAATCAAATCTATATCTGTTCAACATACATCGCCATGTTTCTTCCACATTTTGAAGGTTTACTTCCCATGCCTCCCTTTCTGACCGGTGGCTAGAAAGAGCAGAGCTTAGCTTGATCTCCATGCTCTTAACCTGTTGCTCCGCAATGCTAAGTGCTTCATCTCTGCCAAGAAAGTGAAATTTGAGAAAAAATTTGACAGTCTTTCTGTTTAATTTACATATGGCAAAGTATAAGACTTATTATCTCCAATACAAATCACACTGCTAGTTAATTCTTAACTTAGCCACAGAGAATTCCATCTAAGCTTCTTTTTCAAAAGTGAAAAGACTCTTCTACTTCACAAGCAGCCACTATTCAGGAGTAGGAGAGGTAGTAGAGTTTCAAAGGATGGAACTAATCAATCTAACATATAACAACCAATTTTAACATTTTTTTAGCCACTGTCTTCCAGGTCTGCAAGTGCACAAATTATCCGAGATACTACAAAGCAGTTATACAGCCAAACACAAAGTTTTCGTTCAGACGCCAGCATATGACCACAGAAAGTATTTCACCTTGCAGAAAGGTCCTTGGCATGACTAGCCAAAGCATTTTGCAGATCCTGGAGGGCTTTGTCCCTCTCAGCAGATAAAAGCAATATTTCTTTTTCAGCCTCCTGAAAAATGAACAAATTTGAATATGTGAATATGACACAAATGATGCTCAGCTTTCAATTTCAACACAATAAATACTATTAGTACATACTTTATAAGCCTCCTCAAGGGCTTTCAACTGTTCATTTTCCCTTGCAGCTGCTAGCTCAGAATCTTTCCTCTGAAGAAGTGCATGTGCCCGGACCTTATAAGAGGAAAATTCACTCTCTAGCCGGCTGATCTGCACAGCACAACATAAGAGAAATTCAAAAAAGAAGAGAGGCGACAAACAGAAGACATTTTAACAAAAGCAGAAAGTACTTCAGCCACAAGAAAGAGGAAGCTTCTACAAATACAAGACAATTTAAGTGATAGCTCAATATATGCGCTATCACAACCATTGTGCAGACAACATCAACTTAGAAAAGAGCTTTTCTGAACACCAATTTGAATAGCATCAAGGATGATCCCCTTATTTCCTTTTCACAAGATTCAAAGTAAACTTTTCACATGCACAAGTGGTATCTCTTGCAAAAATTCAGTACACCATGCAAGAAAATCAAATTTAAAGAGTCTTCTACAGTAAAACCCATGCAGATAACATGGGAATCAACCAAGGGCAGACCACAAGGAATATCACATCTATTTCTACTTGTTTAAAATTATTTTCCAGATAGCCAAGAATTTTTTTTGGAATTATCATTTTGATGAGAACTTGGTATGGTATATGCTCATGACAGGGTACTCTGGGAAAAATTCCTCAAAATCTAACATTTCTAGAAAATTAGCAGTTTTTCTTCGCCTTCATTTGTTTCTTTTTTTTTCCCCCTATTTTGCTATTAATCATTTTACATAGATTAGACATCCATGATGTCCTGTTCACCCAATGAACCTACTGACACATAAACAATGCCAGGCTAGACTCAGAGCATGTTAATGACAGAGCATCAATATGCAAAGGGAGTGGCTACCACAGCAGGCTTCCATGGATTGACCAAGGCTTCAACAATGCCCAACAATAGATTCCCTTCAAATGGTTATACACGATTTCATGGATCGACCTCAAACAACTAGAGCAGTTTCAATTTTCAGAAATCACTAATTGCAGCAAAATTAATATCCTTCAACAATACTTCTTACCTCCTCTTTTGCTGCCAAAAGTTCAGAATCCTTTTGGTTTATGAGCTGAGCCTGCACAGACAACTCTGATTCCAATTGACCTGAGGCATAAGGAAAAAGCCATAAGCTTATGATTGTGAACGGATGACAATCAAGACTATAAAGATTTATGTATATACTTCTCATCTTGGCAAGTTCAACTTCTGCACGTATATAGTTGCTCTCAGAAGTCTCCAGCTTCATCCTGAGTGACTGAGAGACCATTTCCAAACTCTCCTTTTCCTTTTCCTGAAATCATGGGTGATAAGTAAAGCTAAAAAGAATAACATATTTGATATCAAGTACTCAGATGTGTCAATGCAAGAAGGATTGTAAATTTTGCTAGATGCTTACAGAATTGTATTCGATCAATGTACATGACATTGGAAAAGCTATACATTTAATATTAGCAAACCTTTTATGAACAGTAATTATTAGCAAATTCAATCAAAGCATGAAAATGATGATTGAATATGGTACCATGCACTAAGAAAGCATCAAAACACAATATGGTCCAGGCTTTCATGTTAGCGGAAGACCATGCTAATATTACTATATTTTGAGCTCATACATGCTCACTTTTCAGGTGTATAAGCTCCCCTTTGACAGTTTCAACAGCAGCTTTGAGTCGTGCTGCTTCACCACTTGAAGCTGCATCCATCTCTGCAATCTTAGACTCTTTCTCAGCAACCAAAGCCTAAAAAGAGACAGTGCACAACAGCTAACTTCATTCAGTACTTGAAAATTTTGAAGCACCAACAAAATGCGGTTGATCCACTGTGCTAATATTGTATATATAAGGCAAATGTAAACAAGAAAAGCAAAGCAAAGAATTCATGGAAAGCAAAAACAGTGCAAGCATGGAAATAAATGCTCCTACTCTATATACTGATATGTATTCAGATGAGAGAGGAAAACTTTTTCAGCAGATGTACCAGCTTGGACCTCAATGTTGCAACTTCCTATTTTCCAGAAAGGTAGAAATGCAAAATATCTGTTTCACATTATAAATTGGAAGGATGCAGAGAAAAAGATATAACAGTTCTTACCCTCAAAGATGAGATTGTTTCGGTAGCTTTACTTCTTTCAGCTAATGCATCTGCTATCTGAGCTTCCAAACTCTCTATTTGCTGCAGTAGAAGAGGGGGCATAATTACCAAGATATCATTTTTGTTTATTAGAAAACAAACTGGTGAATAAGCCAGAGAAAATGTCAATTCAAGGACACATATAATCTTTTCACAAGCATCTGTATGGGTTTACCATCTGGTGCTTTGAAGAGAGTTCAGCCATCGCAGCTAGCCTTTTCTCTTCAGCTGCCTGTAATGATCCTCGCATGTTTTCCAACATCTGTAATTATACAAACGCAAATAATTTTGGTCTCCGAATATCATGTAATAGACTGGCATGGATTACAGTCAAATGCACAGTCAACGGTTCATAGCTTTTTGGAACTGTAAGTTAAGACGACCGGTTTACTATTCTATACCTGCTCTTTTTCCAGAAGCGATTGCTGCATTGCCTCAAGAACATTCTCTTTGGGCTCCAATGAATGACGTAATTCTTCAATGTTGTCTCGAAGCCTAGACGCGCAAGCCAACAGAAGAATATCATCATATGACCAGCAAGAAGGGAAGAAAATAAATACTCATGGGACTAAAGAACATATATTCATTCATTCCAGTAGGTACATAGGCTGTTATAACCAGATGGACCATCAAATACTCATTCATTTTAACAAGAAATGAATTTTATTCATTAAAGCCTAACCAAAAGTTCATCAGAATCCTATCATGTCTTCAAGAAGTAGATTCAAGAATCCTCAATAATTACTAAATTACAGGATGACTTCCAATTTAGAGCTATATAGGGGACATACTTATTGTTTGCACTTCGTAATTGCTGCCTCTCAACATCAATTGCTTTAAGCGCTTCATTTGCTTGCTGGCGCGTGCGCTCAAGTTCTTGCTGTACTGCTGATAATTGGGATGATGACTGTTCAGCCTTCTCATTGGCATCACGAAATTGGGCCTCAAGATCATCTTTTTCCTGGAAACAAGATCTCCAAATACAAACTTAACTTAATGCCTGAACAGAAATTAATCTTTGTGACCCTGAATTTGGCCTGAAGACAAAGTACAGTTTGAATCAAGTTGAGCGTGTATATCACCATATAATATCACTACTCATAATGGTACGATGTTGTGCAAAAGAAAAGGAAAATGGTGAGAGAAAACACATAGAAACAGTTTATTTCAAGACACCTCAAAATTACCAGAGCTACCACCAAATTTCTTACAGCAGAACATACAAGACATGAGATTTAACTTGTTCAGATTAAGAAACCTGAAACGTACATGATATAACTTAGTTCTCATTAGTTTGCAAATGACAACTTTGCAATGCAGGATGGAAAAGTCTCCCACTAAATAGGCACCTCATTCTCTAGAAAAGAAAAAAATCACGCAAGGTAATCTTGGCCCCCAAAGATTTGTAATAAGATCAATGAAAAGATGCATGCAATAAATATTTAAAGAAACCAAATACCACACAAAGCAAAAAAAGGTCTACAATGTCAACTGTTGATAATATTATATAACAAAAAAAGAAGTAAAATTTACCTTCTGAACCTCTTGAATCCGCTGCTTTGCTCGTTTATGCAGCCTGTTCAATTTGGAATCAAGTTCTGAGTATCTTTCATCACGTTGTTTAATTTCTTGATCCATCTTCTGTTGAGCTATGCCAAATAAACCAGTAAATGAGTTTAGATTTACAAGGTAACCCAAAAACCTAGAACTAGAGCAGAGATGGTTCAATTCATTTAAGAGCTTAACCAAGCATTTAAGAAAACAGAAAAAGAATCAAATCCTATCATTTCAAAGAAGTGAAGAGCCAGTTGACATAGATATAAAAGAAGCACACAACCTTCAGCAAGTTGAGCAGCAAGCTCTTGGGCCTTTGCATCAGCCTCGGAATATACTGCTCGAAGGTGCTTGAGGGCTTCCTCTGCAGCATCTCGTGTTTGTCTTTCTTCCAAAAGTTCTCTCCTCAAGGATTCTATCTGTTCTTCAAGCTCTTTCACACCATCACTTTTTTCTTGAGCCACCACAGTTTCTTTATGAGGAGTGATCCCATCAGAATCCAAGTGGAGATTCTTCAGTCCCATCAACTGGGACTTCAAGTACTCATTCTGGAAATTGAGCTCCACAACCATTTGCACAAGTTTGTCATGACTGTCACCGATCTCTTGTTCCCTAATGTGTGATCCATTCGCTATCACAAGTTCTCCCTCCCTACCATTGTTTATGTCAACTAACTGTTTCTCTAGTGTTGTGGCATCTTTCTCCAGTGTTTCAACAGATTCAGCACTCTGTGCTTCTTCTGAGGACATTATTACAGTGGATCCCAAAGCAGTGTGGTTGTTCGTTTCTTTTCCTGTTTCTTTATTTAAGGGTACATGCAAATAGCAATCCCGGTGCCACCTAGAAACTGTTGAAATCAAGTGAAGACAAAAGCAAATATCCAATTGCTCAGTGCATGGTTGATGAAAGAGACATTTATTCCAAAGCAATCACATTGCAATCAATAAAGTCGAGAAGTTGTCAAATAAGTGACTGTAAACAATCAAAACAAAATAGTGCAAGCTACCAGACCAAATTGAGAACTAAATTTGAGGTTCTAAGGAGAAAGGGGAAAAAACAAAACTAGAAATTTCTTAAAAAAAGGATCAAAGTTCAAGTTGATGAAATTGGAGGTTTAGCAGTCAGAAGTTTATTCCAGACTTCAGTATCCCAAGGATGCATCTACTCAGCCACCAAGCAATTACCCAAAAGCACAAATCTCATATCCCAAAGTGATTACTGAGAAACTAAGAACGAAGTGCAACTTGTGATAAATTACTTTACTTCATATTTCCGAGAATTTTGAAACCGTATCAAGTGAGACTTGCTATCAGAGATAATGAAACATAAAAAGATGGGAACTTTATAGCTCCAACCCAATATAATCACACGGGTTTTATAAAAATTCAGTACAAGTACAAGATGCATCCAGTAATCCACAATGTGATTCATGATTGCAGACCACCCTTGTAAAGACCTCAAGTAAAATCCATGCCCTTTACGAGTGTGATCATTCATCACCAACTAATAACTGAATAATGAATCTTAGTCGACATAATAACCATGATATACTAGCTGGTAGTAAATGGCCTTCCCAATTCTTCCCAAGTTGGCAACCACTATAAACCAAGCCCAATTTCCATAAGTTTCAAATGAACTTTACTGGGGTAATTACAACATCACATCAATCAGATCCATCCTCGACTATATTAGATAATTTCCACGGGAACATTTTACCAAACTACCTCGTACATTCACTACCTCGTACATTCAATGCTCATACATATACAATCAAGAAATACAGGTTCATTATTGTAGAATCTTGAAAAAACTAAACGAGCTATTCCAAAAAAAAAAAAAAAATCAAGAAACTACAGTTAAGAATATGAGATAAGGAGAAAATTTTCACCTTTTGGAACAAATGAGAATCAGCCCCAGCAGTTGGAGCACCCTCGATCTATCAGTGCCCCAAAAACGTCTAGTGTGTCCCGGAATTGATTGCTTGGTTTGTTATAATATACTTCTATTTAGATTAATAGTGGTATTACGTTTGATGCTAAAGGCTTTGATTTTTGCGAATTCAAAGGTTGATTCGTCAATGGAAAATACAAAATCCATCGATTACAAGTTGGTTGCAATTAATCTGACTTAATTAGTTTTGTTCTGCATCATATTTCGTGGTTTGCTTGGTGAATGATGGTAGTAAATTAGGAAATGTCCGACTCAAATTCCCTCAACTGCAATTGATAGTTATTCGGAAGAGACGCATTTTGTGAAGCATTTTCATCATCATACATGAGAAGAATTACAATGAATATCAGAAATGAACCAAAAAAAAAAAGGGGCATTCGTCAAACTAATCCATCAATCACGTCAAGCGATTTTAGATCTCCTCACACTACAGGCATTTACATGATTGAGTGGTCTATCCAATCTCTGACTAACTTTTATTTTCCTATGACATTGAAATTGACAGGGTGAAAACACAAAAACGTCTCCACCCCAGTTGTTGAAGTAAATGGGGAAATGCATTCGACAGCACTTAGGTCTCTACTTGTGCATCTCTGGATGTACCTCCATTTTCTCGAGGGCCAATCATTTCTGCAAACAAACGCGTGAAAGAATCAGAATGAGAGATTTAAAAGATGTTCATTCCAACATATCCATTCACAAGGAAAGTAGATTTCTACCCACTTTGCTCAAGTAGAATGGAGTATACATACACTTCTCGAAGAAGAGGACTATATTACGAAACAAATGAGTTGTTCAAACCAAAACTAGCAGAAATCTCACCAGAAGATCTGCCTCCACTGGAACGAGCAGCTATGTATTCAAAAAATTCTCTACTGGCATCTGCACACAGAGGACAGAAAAAGACAAGCGAAAGTTGGTAAATAAAAAATACCAGTAATCAGGTTTTGTGTTTTCTGATAGCTGCATGATTTAGAAGGGAGATCAACTCTCCAACTTGCAGAAAACATTGCAAAGATGTAAACTTGTTTTCTTTATATTCAGCAGGACATCCCTGTAATGAGTTTCACTTGTCACAGTTTGATAACCATTACTTTCGTGAAATACAGGGGACAATGTGGAAGGCAAACCAACATGTAGTAGTTGTCATTCTATTGTCCAATTTACACACTCCAACCAGCCAAAGTACTTCATTTCATAGATCTATTTAAGAGTTAGACTGGATGAATCATAAATAAATAGATAAACTATTAGTAACTCTCTCTCCTTCCTTTTCCCCTTAAACCTCATAGTTTGTTAGTTAACATGAAAGAAGGGGAATGCATTTTCGAAAGTTTTCATGTTTATTGGAGCAGGCACAAGCTATCTGCCCAGTAAAGCATAGTTAACCAAATATAGACGAACTTGTGGCTGACATACCATGCTTCATTGTTAGAGAGGGATCTTGCTCATCCACATAACCAATCACCTTTGCTGGAATTCCGGCCACCATGCTTCAAACCAAAAGGACACGGTCATAATTGTGTAGAAATGGTGAACACCTAAGACTCACTAATAAGTAATGGCACCGATTCTAGCAGACAACATAAATGCACATCACAGAACTGGACTCTACCTGTGAGGAGGGACATCTTTTAGTACCAGGGCACCAGCAGCTATCATTGCACCTTCACCTATTCTTATGTTCCCCAATATAGTTGCACTAGCTCCTATAAGTGCACCTTGACCAACTTTTGGATGCCGATCACCAATTTCTTTTCCAGTTCCTCCCAAGGTTACGCCCTGCAAGATTTTAACAAAATGAAGAGAAGATAATGAGAAACAATCAAAGAGTTGTAAAGAAGAATTTGCAAGATTATTATATTCTGTTAACATACTAATTGCAGCATTTTGTATCCTATTCTTGATTGTCTATTTTCGGCTACTGTCAGTTACTATTTCGTAAAGTAACAAGCACACTGTCACTCTTAATCTGCAGTGGTAATTGGTAAACAACAAGAATGCTCCCCTCCCCCAAACCAAAAACTACCACCACCTCCCCCACAATGCTAGTACCTTGAAATGGACAGAAAATTTGTTGGAACAAAATTAAAGGGAAAAATACACATGAAACTCATCAGAAATTTCAAGTTAATACTGGTGCAGAGGTGCCTGGAAGAACAAATTGAACCATTAAATGAACATGTGAAAGGTAGTTCCTGGATGCTGAAATCATTGTCTCCACCCTTTCTACATACCAGAAGCTATTTCTACTTTCTCTTATTCAATCTTTTATCTTTCTCTTAATGTCCTAGCAAAATTATTCAAAACCAGATCACCTGACGACCAACTTTTCTTTTTCAGTTAGCGGTCAGCTTGAGCAACTTTACAACAGTTCTTTATTCTTTAAGAACATGCACTTCTAGGCACATAAACTCACTCTTCATCCCCCGCAAGGAGGCCAGGAATTGAGATTTTGTTATCTGGTATCATCCGAAGTACAAATCCTGGAGGCCATTTACAACTGAAACTCCAACAACCTAACAGCTTTCTCATTCAAAGCTATACAGGTCAATGATAGAAAAAGTGACTGTTACCTGCATTAGCGAAACTCTATCCCCAACAACAGCAGTCTCACCAATCACTATACCAGTAGCATGGTCCAAGAGAATTCCTTCTCCAATTTTTGCAGCTGTACAAAAAAGCAAGCATGAGGGAGAGTAGATGAGACCTGGTGCCCATTTCAGAGCATGGCGTCATATATTGAAATGTTTCTCAAATCCAAAAGCTCAAGACTTAAGCTTCATCAAGAAGTTTGTTGCTAACTATCTCTGAACGTCTTTCAAAACATTTCCAAACTTTCAAAGAAAAAATTCAAACAAAAAGTACTTCTAATAGTGGCCCCCAAATGAGGCATCAGAAAGCAAGCAAATTTAAGCACAAGCAGGCAATTGATTAGTAAAAGTTCGGGTGCTAACTTATTATGATATATACTTATGTTTCTGAACAAAATAAATAACTCAAGCAGCAGAATATATCACATAAGTGCAAAAAACTAAAGTAAATAAATATTACCTGGGTGTATGTCAACTCCAAAAACCTGGAGATGCAAAATTAATCTTGTCAAACATCATAACATTCAATCCACATTGGAATCTGAACATTCAATCCACACTGAAGCGTACAAGAACCAAATACTACCTCACTGACACGACTTTGTAAAGCTGATGCCAAGACTTTGCGTCCTTGGTTCCATAATGCATGTGCAACTCGATGTGTTTGTAAAGAATGGTATCCCTACAAACATATGTTTTATACGGATCTGAGTATGAGAATATGTGAACCAATACCAACTAAACATATAAATAAAATGTAGTTAAACACATTCTATGTAACGCCTAACAACTTCTTCATCTGCCGGATACAGAGATTCTGACCAGTTGGGCTGCCCTTTTAAGACTAGACATTCACCCATATCAATTTTTAAAAGTCACATAAATGAATCTAACATAATACATATATATTACAAACACAAATTACTAGTTCTTTTCACTGAGAAATAAGCCACAACAGGCTCAGTAATGTCATGGCACATACTGGCAAACTAATACTAGAAGAAAAGTTAGTCAACCAAATGAAATGTGGTGGAAGATTGGAAAGCAATACCTTCAGGTATAGCAGAGCAGAGCAATATGACAAACAAGAAGGATCCCGATCTTTAAATGCCTGAGAAATAAAAGAATGCATGTAAGAACCATATCAACCAGAAAACATGACTACAACTTTCATAAGAAAATTGAAATGACTTTGTGGTGCCAATTAAACACCTGTATATCATGGCGAATTGAACGTTGAATGCCTCGATCATGCATTATTACATCAGAGAAAATATCTAGTAATTGTGTCGCCAAAAGTGTGGGATTCTGCAGACGATTGGCAAGGACAAATGCCAATGCTTGCTCTAAACAGTGATGTGACAATATGCTTGCATACAAGAAGCTGCTTAAAATTGGCTCCTTTTCTGCCTGAAATTTTGCATATCAGGAATAGTGACAAAATAGTACCAAAAGCTTTTATAAAATATCCGTCAGACAGTAACAACTATATGATGACATCGTCTAAGTCATATTTCTCTATTAAGGTCCAGCAAAAAATGTACTTTTGCATTAGATTTTCATACTAATATATCTTTACATCTCTGCTTTTCTCTCACTTTTTCCTCCTTTTTATTAATTGGGGCATACAAACCAGTTTCAGGGCAACTTTACTCCCACAAAAGTATCTGAAAAGACAAAAACTTCAACCAAAAAGAGTAGGACCAAAATCAATTCTTTCTTCAGCCTGTAATCTACATATTCAGTGTTAGAACTAAAGTAGCATTTTCTTGTCAAATGATTACATAGGAAATTAAGAAATGTAACTTAAATGGACAAATGCTTCAGATTCAGTGTTCTGAGAAAATGTGGAAATGCTTCCTCTACAATCCTCAAAAATGTCACAGGCCATAAAAGTAATTATTAATAAATAAAAAGAGGAAAGCAGAAAAAACTTAAAATTAGCCATTACACTGCTTGTCAAGCATAAAAATCTTTTCTTTCCATCTTTAACCAGTCTTTCCTTCTAATCCTCCAAGCCCTTTTGATTATATTTACCAATTTCATCTAAAAACAACCAAATTTCAGAAGGCATATAAATTTGGAAGCAAAATGGATTACATAGTGAAATATTACAATAATTGAAGTGAGTAAACTTAGTAGAACTACTCCTTATAAATATTACCTCCAACTTAGCTTCTTCTCCGACAGCATCCCAAATAGGGTCACCAGGTTTACAACCCGACTTGGCAACCGAGGCCACTAAATTCGGGTCAGGCTCCGAAACAACACCAACAGCATAAACAGGAAATACTCTCTCCAACCTCAACTCACCTGGCTGCTGCTTCTTGGACTTCGACCCAGCAAAATCCTCCACCTTGACCGCCTCCTTCGTCGTCTCTTCCTCTTCCAAAACCGTGTGGGTAGATATCATTTGGGCCGAATAAAACCACCTTTCCTCACTT